TATTTATGTTAGATGTTATGTTAGATTCAGTTTGGCTGCTATATTTGAATTATAATTGCTAGATGAACAAAGGGACACGTTTATTTGGTTTATTTGGTTATGTTTTAACATAATCATCATTTGACCTGAATCACTGAACTCATTTAGAGGCCAGAAGGCACTGCAACATGATTCATTATGTCACCATTGTTGAGAATCACAGGCAGATTCTTGATGTTTGTGTGTCCAAATAAAATATTTTTTCAAAGTCTTCTGATCAGACCAACTTTTAAGAAATCTTTTGGATTAAATTGAAAAAAACTGAAAAGGGTATACTGTAGAATCACAGGCTGCTGTAATTATCAATGTAAACCTGGCTCTGTAAATGGGTTCAGTGATTCAGGTCAAATGATGATTATGTCAAAACATAACCAATACCATTTGATCAGCTTTTCCAGTTGTTTATCTGTCAGTTATAACTCCATTATAGCAGCCAAACTAAGTCTAACTTTATTTTAAATAAGCACCAGATGGCACTGTTCTTGACACTCGTAAAGCTTTGAATCTTTCCCCGGAAGAGTCGGGGGAAAGCCTCATTGATCCATGAGGTTTCATTTTCCCATCCCTACTGTGTGGTTTCAAAACAGTCTTGTAATCCTGAAGTAGCTTCCTGTAGCCACATTCTGTCTCACCCTGGGTCTACCTGCTGGTGTGAGCATAACAGCCAGGTGGTCAGAGTTGCTAACGTCAGGGAGGGGGGCTGCTTAATATAGGGCTGGGCGATATATCACAACCTGACTGCCCTGCCGGAACGTTTGCAGCTGGCTACACGATGGATGCATGGGATAGGTGGCGGGTTGTGTGTCTGGCGGCTCTTTCCGTGGAGGACGTTGAAGATATCTACCTATTCGGAACCATGATAACAGGTCTTCTGCTGATTGGATTAGGCATTGCCCTGGTTTATCGAGGAATTAAAAAGACGGTGACAGCTGTCCAAAGCCTCACAAGGCTGCCCGTCATGATTGAAGCGGTGGGCAGAGCTGTCAGCACTGGAACTGTGTCTATGAACCAGAATATGGATAACATCATAGAGAAGCTTACAGCTTTGCAGAAGGATTTGGATCGTTTCAGAGACCAGAGACTATGAGAATTAGCCGTGTAAATTGAATGCGGCTTTTCATCCCAAGACCAAACAAGCCCAATCTTATCTGTTTTCGGCCGCCCCGAACTAACACTGGCCTTGGCCAAGGCCACTGTTGGAACAACAACTCCCCTGGAAGAGCACTGCAGTGAGCCGTTCTCTTGCGTTCCTTCCCCGACTCCCCAGGACACCTGGTGATTGTTGACTTTGTCTGGGACATGATCAAGGTTTTCTCCATGGCAACTTGCTGTGTATCGCTTTCACAATCCTGCGGACTTGACGCACCTAGATTGTGATTCTCCAGCGACTCTCCAGGCCTACACATACACAAACTCTTACACATACATACAGATATGCAATCATACGCCCCTCACCCCATCCCTCGCCTTCGCCGCTTTGTACCCCTGGTCTGACAGGCGGGTCTGTGACCAGCGCAGAGAATGGCTGCAGGACCATATGACTGCTTGCCTGTGCTGGGTTACCCCCACCCCCACTCCCGTACCCTGTTGCAAGTCTTGTCTGTTCATGTTGTAGAGTGTACTAATTATGTGCCAATGTTGCTGAGGTGTTTTTTTTACTGTTCCCAAACTGTACTCCTCACAGGAGCATAGTCTGCGGATTAAAAGGGTTGCCTTTTTTTCTCCTCACCTCTCCTCATGTTATGCTGTATTTCTTCCTCAATGCCCTGTCTTCATGTCCTGTCTACCTCCTTGTCTTATTGTATGTATGTCTGTATGGACAGGTTGATGGCTAATTTCACTGGTCAATTTTTGTGACTAAGTGAAAATAAAGGCTACTACTACTACTAACTAATTGAATATTCTGCTCATCACCATTGTTGAGATGCATTGACTGAATCTTGACGTCTGTGTGTGCTTTAAAGAGAGATTTTAATTTAAACAACTTTTAAGAAATCCTTTATATTATATCTAAAATTCTGGATATTTATGCAGAATCACAGTAATGCTGTAACCAAGAGCATAAATCACAAACATAAAGTTCAAATGATGATTGTCATAATATAACCAACATCATTAGATCCTTTTTTTTATTTGTCCATCTGCCAGTTATCACTCAGATACAACAGCCAAACAAAATCTAAAGTTAATAATATAAGGGTCAAGAGACCAACTAAAGCAAACACTGATTGCCATAACGGTGGCTTACAAATTTAGATTTTCTCCTTCAGTGATTCTGCTTTAGGTGTCTTCAGAAGTGAGAAATATACATTTGAGTATCCATCTTTGACTTTGTCTGTAATGTGGCGTAAAACAATTGGTGTTGGAACCAAAACATCTTAATGTGAGAAAAAAAATTATCCTTTCAATTTACTTTAGTTTTGAGTGTTCAACATTTTCAGTGGCTTCTAGTTTTAGTTTATATATATACAGTATATATATATACAGTATATATATATATATATATATATATATAAATATATATATTGAGCATGTTTTAATTAAAATTATTCAAATCTTAACTATGTTAATCTAGAACTAAAGATACTAAACTAAAAGATATGTGGTCATTGTTAGTTTTTGAGTTATGAAAATGTATTTTAGTGTGCAACAATGTTTGCAAAATTTTTACAAAAACTGTATAAAACTTTAAAACTGGTCAAAAATATAACATTTGTATCATGTAATACACACATATTTTTTATTTTGCTATTGAATGGTTTAATTGTTAAAACTAATAAATTAGAAGTAGACATTATTTAATCTTTCAATAGCCTACAGTAAAGTAAAAAAAATCATTCCCCATGTTACGCTACTTGTTGAGATAGCCTATGCCTTCACAGACACTCATAACGGCATAATCTGACACATACTCCGTTTACAGTGTAAACAAATTCTCAGAGAAAAAATAAATTGACCTTGTCAAGGGTCAAGAGCACATCTAAATCAAACCATACTATTTTTTTTCGATAAAACATCAACATCTAAACATCAATTAATTCTAATAAAGAACTTATGTAGGCGTCTGACAGAAATAAAGTCAATTTGGTTAGTAATAAGTGAAGCTGGTAAGCTAAGTATTTTTCATGTATATATATTTTATGACGTTATTTTCGATTTGATCAAGAACGTAAACCAATGCCAACGCTGTTTGTGTGTTATGTAGTTGCCAGTTAGTTCGATGCTGTTGTGTAAAACAAATGTGTATAAAGTTAGAAAAATATATAGGCAAATTACCATTCAGAAACGTTTAGTAAGAGCCGTGTGTGGCGAGGTTCTGCATGACTCTCTTCATCGCCGCTTTCTGGGTCTGATTCTGCTCACTGATACTGCACTATCGACACCATTATTTACATGACAGGAACACATAACTCCGCCCGTAAAGGTAATGGGCGATAGTATCCGGACAACGTGAACTACTCAGTTTAGCCAATCACAACACACCGGCCCAAATGAACCAATCTGTGCCCATTGCCTGTTTCTGGGGGAGTGGTTTCATAGACTCAGGAAGTACGGTCGTTCAGAGGACAGAGGAGAATGCGGCTTACAATAAAGGTAAAATTTATGAAAAATAAGACTTTTTAAAAAAGAAAAAACACAAATACATGTTATATTGCACCCCATAAACACAATCATGCAAAGAAAAAAAAGCAGTAAACCCCCCCTTTAATTATTCAGTTTGGGAAAAACTATGTTTTAGAAATATTATACTGGACAGATACAAAACGAGCAAACTGGTCAGAATACAAGCTTTTCTTTTAGTTTATGTATAGCCTGCACAGACAGGTAGCCTACATGTCCAAATCAAACCTAGTGTAGGCCTACTTTTTTATGTTTGCTGTCTTGTCTTGTCATAACATAACATAAGTATGACTGAAAACAAAATATCAGAGCTGTTTTGTTGGTTGTTTTTGTTGTTTACCATTTACATGCAATTGTTGTATACTTTCCATCTTAACAAACTTCAAGAATCAAGTTTATTAATGACCAACTTCTAAAAAGAGAATGTTTCTTTGTAAAGAAATGCGTGCGCACACACGACTTGTAAGAGCAATATTTCCAAGTTTTGTTTTTCCCTATAAAAATTTCAAATGTCATGATTTGCCAATGCAAGAGAGTACCGGCACCTTTTTTCCCCCACTTCAAGCACTGCGCTGTTGTGATGATGCAAGAGTTGCAACTATGGCAGCTGAGAAGGACATTCTTTGTGTTCTTTGTGAAGAATTTTCGGAGCCAGATGAAGTCGGTATAAATATATGTTTAATACTACAAAATATGCCTGATTTTACAGTTACTGCACTTGCCTCCCAGAACACAAGAGAACATCCTAATCGAGTGAAGGGATTTGTGGAAACTGAAATGGAGGCACACAACTTACCTAATTTAGACTAAAACCATTATGTCCAATGCTGATTGGACTGCAGTTCTGACACACCCACCAAACAAGAAAAAACGTATCTCAAACCCTGTTGCACACTATTTTCAGGAAACATGACATTCAACCCGGAAACCGCAGCAAAACTTTGCGCACCGTTTTGAACTTGAACGTGCTCTAGTTGTGTTTCTCTTTCCTTCAGTGATTGCTTGTTATCATCATTCAATAATCTAACAATCTTCTTCTTCTTCTGTTGTTTAACAATGCACCAACTAAAAGTGCATTGTCCGCCAACCACTGGATTGGAGTATGGAGAACTACTTAATGGAATACACTTGGTGTAAAAAAAAATCTCTTTCTCTATTGTATGCTACATATTCTAATAATATACGTTTTACTGTTTCTGGATATCCATATTTATCGCAATTACCACCCTCATGTTTTCCTATTTTATGTAAACTTTGATTTAGTGTTGTTTGTCCAAAACGTAATCTTGTCATTATCACATCCTGTTTCATGTTATTAACGGTTGTTCTTTCCACCCCCACATTTCTTTGTATACTATACAGATGTCTTCTGGGACTAATTTCATTGTCCCATATCTTCTGCCAACTCTTTTTCACTTCAGTCCAAATCAGCCCCTTAATATCCGCATTACTCATCTGTACTCTGATGTTGATCTCAGGATATTTCAACAACTTTGCCAGTTTATCAGCTTCCTCATTTTCCTTACATGGACTGGCACCCACAAAAACTCATCTTTATGGTTAAGTATTTTATGGTATTTAACTTCAGCAATGTTTCATTTAAAATATATTGTCTTGCTAAAGATGTTCCACTTTCTAAAACTCTATGTCACACTTCTATTAGGCTTTTTTTATTCTATCCATTGTAAATGTAATGATATGGCCATCAGTTCTATTGTAAAAAACAGGTAAATGATTTGTTACTCTTGTCGAACAATCATCACTCTATTAATCTAATTAAGTCTAACATCAGTGTTTTTTAACACCCTGCTGGAGGGAATTCATTTGCACTTTTTATCTTCTCTGGTCTTTCTTGTCTTATTTTAAATGTTTTTCCCCCTAGTGCAGAACAATACTCTGATTTCTTCTTTTGTTCATTTTGGATTCATAGAATCTTTCAAATACCGGAGAGAGAAAGGGAAACTAAAGTTCAAAGAAAGTTCTCCCTCCTATAAACACTGAGAAACTTCCTCCTTGTTCATAGAGATTCAACGACACCTCGACACGCAGGTATCACCTTTCTTTATGGATTTCTTTATTGAATATAAATGTAAAAATGTAAAACAATTTAAATAAATATTTAACAGTTTAAGATATAACAAGTGCTATAAATGTACTGTCTATAATGGCAGTGGCTTTCATTTTGATCTTGACATTTTTATCTCAAAAACGAATATCTGTGTTTGTTTAGTGTTGTGAACAAAAATTTGGTAACATTTATATAGAGGCTACACTATATAAAAATATAAAATCAAAATAATTTAAAAAAATGTTGCAATTAGCTGAATGATTAATTGTAAAGATTGTCATTGGGTGTAGGTGGTTTAATTCAAAACAAAATGCATTCAGTTAAACATTCAATTATGATTCAGCTTGCATTATGTTGCTTTTAGCTTCAACCTAAACTAATTAAATATAAATAAAGATTATATGAACAGAACTAAAACACCTTGAGAAATAAAACCTGTTCTACTGGTTCAGTGGAATGAGATGGATCACATGGTGTAGGTTCAAATTACACAAAGCAGATAGACAAGTTACTTTGACTTATAGCACTTTATGTACAGTTGGCCTCAAAGCAGCTTTACAGAAAAGAAAAAAATCTTTATTTTACAAAAAGCAGAACACTTTGTTTTTATTGTTGATCTAGTATTTCGGTTTTTAGAAATTTCACATTGTGCTTAATTTGAAGTCTTGTCAGTCCGATTACTAACATATTATTTAACCCTAAAACCGTATTCTGGACAAATGTTGGCAAAATAGTTTTGATTTATTTTTAAAAATTACTTCCCTTGAACTGAGCGGTACCAAACTTGGCTACTTTTCCTAAGTTTGCCTCCTGAACACACACATTTTTTTGACTCAATTCTACAATGTTAAGTGGGTGAAAAAAAAAACTCAATCTTGTAGTTGGGTCAAAAATGGCCACCCCTAGAAATGAATGGGAAAACTGTAATTTAGAGCATTCTAAAATAAGCCAAAATAAGAAAAAAAAAAAAAGCAAAGTCACTTCATCTTTAGGTTTTAGCTCTAAGAACTTATTGGAATGATATTTTAATGTAGTTAAAATAAAAAAATAAAAACCATAAAAAATAAGCATAATTTACATAGAAAATATGGTACTTTTTGAAGTAAATAAATTCAAAATACCACCAAAATAAATAAATAAAAAAAACACCATAAATGGATAGACAAAACATTTATCGAAGACAGTGATATAACATTTATAATAAATAAAAATTAGGATCAGACCTGAGTCCTCTGTGCCCACATTTGTCCACAATTATAGGATTAAGGGCTATAAAGTGAATAGGCTTTGAGGGCTATGTGCACGTATGTAAACATAGTTACTGATCATTGGGGTCTTTGCTGCGGCACTAGCGTTGTTGAAGTACGGGTCTGTGTTGGTCTTTTTCTTTATTTGGTTGTGGTCTTAGCTAGCTGGCCGTAAATCTGGTCAGTCTGGCCCTGGTTATCTTGGTCAGATATCTCTGGTCAGTCTGGCCCTGGGATAATCCTGAAGATATTAAATCCAGAGGTTTTACTGGGCCATAGGTACACTATATTTACCAAAAGGTACGCTGTAAATTTGTTTTACTTAAGCAGTATTACCATACTGTAATCTAAAGCGCTACCCAAAGCTTTATACAACATTACACAGTCAGACAAAGTGACACACTTCACATGTCACTTCTCAAATGCTTTGTTTATTTGTTTATTTTTTGGTAGAAGCAAACAGTTGTTCAATCCTAAATTAACGATATTGCCCTGCCCAGGAGGACGAAGCCCACAGGAAGCTCAGATGCCAAGTGTGTTTATTCAGCGCTAAATAAAGGCACTGGTGACATTCGTGGACGACACAATGGCCAACAAGGAAAGCGAATGTGAGTACAAAGTGTCTAAGAAACTTTCTTGATCAGTCCTACCAATGTGATCTTGGCCACATTCAGCTGCAGAATATGGTTGTTAGTCCAGTTAAATATGTTCACACCATTCAGTTATTGTTGTGAGTGACAACTGCATTTTATAGCCAAACTGATCTGGCAGCATCAAAGTTTCAAGGATTCACAGAATGTATTATGTATTGCTATAATAGTGCAATTTTGAAACAATTAAAATACTTTTTTTTTTCTGGTCATATTTTTGCATCGGTAAAATTTCTTAAAGTTATGATTTGTAAAAAAAATTAACAAGAATGTCAATTTAAATTTTATAATTTTCAAATCTGTCTAAAGCTTTGTTTTAATGCTTTTTGCTCAGCAGCAGGTGTTCTGACTTCTCCCAGAAAAATGAAAAGCATGGAAATAAACCCCCCGAAGTGTAAGTATCTGTATGAAATTATGAACTGTTTATAGATTTGAATTGCTTGCACTACTTTTTTTTCATTACATAATGTTGATCGCACTAACAGTAAGAAACTGAAATGATTTGACAAAAACAGACGCGTGTGATATTACAATTACTCTGAAGTGATAATTGATCAGATTATTGATTGTGGTCCAATTACTATTTTGTTTTTGTTGTTTATTTAGTTCGGACTGTTGTAGTGTTTGGAAACTCTGCATCTGTCCAGTATAATGCTGAAAACATTCTACTTGGAAAAGAAAACCCTTTTAGAACTGTAAAAACATCCAGGATCGGTCCTGTACTGAAGGAGATATCAGAGCATCTCGTCTTCTTGATCGACATTCTTGATTTACATAAGACTGACTCTGTGGATCATCTCATTGATCAACAAAATGAAATCCATGCCTTCATCTTTGTTGTGCGACTGGGTCAGTTAACCAATGATGATCAGATGGTCCTGGAATGGCTTCAGAGGGCGTTTGGTGACAAAGTTCTTCAGTTTGTGATGATTCTCTTCACCTACGAAAGAGAAGAAGAGTGTGCCACTATAATTGATGATCTGAAGAAAAACCCTGTTCTTGAGAAACTGCTGGAGAAATGTGGAGGAAGATTACACACCTGCAACAAGAGGATGCACAACCATTTAGAGATGAGAGAACTGATGAACAAGATTGAGCTTCTGTTTAATGAGAATAAACAGCAGCGTTACACAGGAGAGATGTATAACGCGGTGTTAAAACAGAGAGAGGGCCTGCAAAAGTGTCAAAGTCAAAGTGGTAAGAACACAGATTTGGTTTCCTGATGTTTCACATTTCTGTCAGGACCACTTTCGTCAAATATGATTGACAATTAGCATACAGTTTGGATTGGCGGTATGGTTCTGTTCTAGGCAAGAACTCCCTGGGCATCCATGCAGCCTAGCATGGATAAGAGCAGCAATAACCCCACTTAGGGTAAACAGAACAGAACCAACATGAATATTTTGCAGATATCAATATTTCAATATTTTACTGTACAACATAATTTGAGAATTTAGTTCAAAGGGGAACTTAATGCCATCAGAATGCCAAATCCTGACTGTCGAGAGGAGGAGCTGGGGATGGAGGAGGGTAAAGAGCTCCTGAGAAACGCGATAGCTGTTGATAATACAGAAGGAGCATATATATGGATGCTGTGATATGTGTTGTATTCCTACAAGTAGATGTGGATCAGCTGAGAGTCAGCTGATGTGAGCTTGACTAACATGACCTGCCAGAACTGGCACTGTGTTTGATGTTGTTTATTCTGATTTGTATTTGCCTCTGATTATATTCTATAATTTTTATTTAAATATTAAATAATTATAAAAAATTATAGAATTAAATGTCCTAGCATAAAATGAAATGCATCTGATACACCAGCTCAATGCTAAATTTAAAATTTTATATTAAATACGATTTTTAAATACATAGGCTGAAAATTTAGTCAGCACTGCGTCGATGATGCTATTGGGGAAGAACTCCACGTGAACCAGTGTCTGAAACGCTTTTCCAATCACCGGCGACAGCCTATGACGTCACTACTAGTGCGACTTGGAAGTATGTAAGGGGCGCCTCGAGAACATGTCATCCTCATTTCGTCTTCAGGGACTTTGAATCGCAATCACCTGAAAAATATTCAAGGTAAAGATTATGGCTGGCGAACATCTCAAGAAGTGTGTGGATCCATGTTCCAGGTTTTTGACATCTGATTCCTTCAATATGGAATCGTTCTGAAGGTCTGGCCACGGACTTGGTAGTGAATGCGCCCTTTTCAAGCTTTAAGAGTTGTAGGCCTTCATTCTGAGAAGTGTTAAAGCCACTGCTCTCCAAGGAGCTTTGCAGGTCTCCTCCCTTTAAGAGAGTCAGTAAGATTGAACAGTAGACATTGGTTCCCTGTTTAGAAAGAATAAGGGGTGTGTTGGTTAAGGTTTCTTACCGTCGGTGTGTGAATGAATGTATGAATGGGTGGATGTGAGGCATATGTAAAGTGACTTGGTGGCCATTGGGTCTATGAAAGCGCTATAGTCCATTTACCATTTACCATACGAGTATATTATTAGGGCCCTGAAGTTCCCTTATAGGTAGGCTATGCACACCCTTTCCATAGGGGTTCCTCCTGTGTTAAGAGTTGTCAGGTTAATGTAGTGGGTAGTGCCAATCTATGGTCAACCAGTAGTGAAAAGGTTGGCTTCATCTCATGGAGAATTCTCTAGTGAGGCCACAGTTCATCCAAGCATCAAACAGTGTAGCGTGAAATGGCAGTCACACTATCAAGTAGTTAGGCCTTAAAAGGCGGCTCCCCAACAATTTGGATGCTTAGCATTGCAAAGGCTTGAGTATCAAATGCCAGGCTTCCACGGAGCTTCCCTCATTCTAGCCCAGAGCCTGGTCAGTACTTATCAGGTTGAGTATAGTGTTCCAGAGTCTATCTGAGGTTCGCTCTGTAAGAACATTTATCTCCTTAAGTCTGGCCGTAGGGAATACTGTATGTGACCTGAGAGTAACCGGGAGAGTGTTTGGCATTTCAGTGCAACTGCCGTTTTCTTACGTTTTTGTAACAGCCATAATTGACTGTTCGCAAAAGCCATGCCCCCTAGTTATTATTACTATGCCAGTCAAACAAATGGTCAAACACGACAGATTGCCAAGACAAGAAGAGGTATACCCGTGCATGTCAGTGAATTTTTTTGGAGCAGTAGCTCTGCGATTCCCTCCAGATCGAGGCACAAGGGTTTACAGTATGCATTGGAGGGATATATGTAACCCCTCCAGCCGGGTCCCAGTCGACTTGCTCCGAGCGGGCTTCGAACCCGGGTCTCTCCCGGGTCGGCATGAGAGTCAGGCGCTCTAACAAGGAGGCTAAAGCCTGCAGCCCCTAGCGTCTGTCGCTAGAGTGCCTATTGAGATAACACAGTCTCATCCCAAATCGTGATATAACTGACGTTTTGGGACGTATTTTGACCATACGTCAATATCCGCCTTTTTAGGGCCCCCTTAAACGTCGGTAGATGGCGATCCCGGGCCGTCATACAACTGACGCTTTACCTTTAACGTCAGTTAGGTGACGGGTTAGGTTTAGGGTTAAGTTTAGGTATGGGGTAGAGTTAGGATCCCATAACCTCATCTACCGACGTTTAAGGGGGCCCTAAAAAGGCGAATATTGACGTATGGTCAAAAGACGTCCCAAAACGTCAGTTATATGACGATTTGGGATGAGACCGGGTTGATTGAGATCAGAGGAGTGAGGTTTACTTGCACAGCAAGTACTAGCTGGCCTCCGTTACACTCACCCCCCTAAACCTCAGTCTCATCCGGGTCACGGCACCAATATAACCCCTACACTCCGGTCCCACTCGACCCGCTCCGAGCGGGCCTCGAACCCGGGTCTCTGGCATGAGAGTCAGGCACTCTAACAAGGAGGCTAAAGACTGCAGCCCCTAGCGTCTATCGCTAGAGCGCCTATTGAGATCAGAGGAGTGAGGTTTACACTCCGTTAGGCGGCAGTGGCTCAGTGGTTCATGTAGGTTGTCTACAAACCAAAGGTTGGTGGTTCAATTCCCGGTTCCACCTGACCAAGTGTCGAGGTGTCCATGAGCAAGACACCTAACCCCAGCTGCTCCCGATGAGCTGGATGGCGCCTTGTATGGCTGACACCGCCGTCGGTGTATGAATGGGTGTGTGAATGGGTGAATGTGAGGCAATATGTAAAGCAATAAATGCAGTCCATTTACCATTTACCGTTACATATATTCAAAATATAAAAATACGCAATGAAGGAGACACAACTACTATCGAGACGAATGCTTATAACAGTCTCAAGTGAAATTTAAGAAACCCTGTACCTCAAATGCAACCAGCACAGTCTAGAAGAAGATTTTATCAGCTGGTTCAGTGGCTAATTGTTTGGAGTTAGAAATATATAATTCGCGCCACATATTTAGTAATTTTGCCTCAGATACAGGATTATACATTCACTTTAACAAGCAGGTTGTTCATTACCACGGCAACCACTTGCGTGTCATGCTGAATGCGATTTCCGTGAAGCCAACCTTTCCACATAAGGGACGGAAAGATGCAGATAATCATACATTATTTGAGGTTATTTCTATTCGTTAAAATATTGATAAATTAACTGATGTTGTCAAGTAAGCTTTATGATTTCCCCGTTGTGAGCGTGCACTCCTCTAAACTGTAGCTACGGGTGCTGCACTGCTAGTTGACTGCTGCTCATTGTCCCCCCGAGAATATCATGTTAACAACAACACTTTAGAAAACATAATTCATTTGTGGATGCTCTTGATCTGATCTTGATCTTTCTCCATGTTGTGCAAGTCTCTCGCTATGTTTTCGGCTTTGGAAACGGAAAGAACACAACTCCTCTAGACAATCTATCGAGGTATCTCTCGGGGTACTCCAAACAATCTAACACCCATAGGAACACCGCTTCACCATCTTGCTTGGAGTCAATGTTTGACAGATCTGCTCACATAGTAACGGTTGCCATGATGTGTGATTGGACAGTGGCCGTTTTGGGGCCAACAAAAGGTCAATTGTTATGCACTCCCCCCTCAGCATAGTGTGTAGGTCTATTATTCCCCAGTAGCATCATCGACACAGCATCTTGTTCCCTGTTATCAGTGAACAGAGGTTACAGTCGTAACCTGAGACTTTTGTACGGTAATCATTTTCTAAGCTGAAGAAAGGCTTTCTTTTAAATTGCATGTTTTTTAAATTTATTTCTGCTTCTTACTGCAGATTGTTTTTCAGAATTTACAATCAATGAAGAAAGAATTGAAGACACTACAAAATCAAAGACTGGAGAAAAACATGGCGTGAGTGCACATTTTTTTTATATTGGATGCATTGATAAAACCAACTACTACCCTATTTCTATATAGGGGATATATACCTCTTGCTCAGCACACATGAAGCTTGCCGCAAAAGTAGCCTAATGAATATCGATGTGTCGGGAAATAATAGCAAGTATATATTTTAATTGTTTATTAATGAACAAGTGTTACACATTTATCGTCTTCTCAACTGGAAATAATTGAGACGTTGCTTCGATTTAGACGTTTAATAAAAGAAAACAAATAAAATACAGCAAGCTTGTTCAGCAGTCATTCACCAGATGGCGGTTGCCCAAATAGTCCAACATAAAAATTCACATGGATCACGTGTCCACGCCCATTGCTCAATGCCTAGTGGGTAATGAAGTCAATTCACAAATCAAATTAAACATGTTTTTAACCACATATATCTGATAACATGAATTGTTACTCTTAGTGTTGAGTATCAAAATGTTAACACAAACTATTTATTTCTAATTGTTTTGTTTAAAAGTAGACATATTTTGACCTATAATAGGCAATAGGCCTATTTCTCATGTCTATGAGGCAAGTATCCTATACATGCTGAGTTTCGGTTCATTTGTGACGCACACCAGTTCTTTCTATTTTCTACTCTCAGGTGTCGGTAAATCTGAAAAGGCACTGAAAGTTTATCAGTGTTACCGGTCTTGGTGGCAAATATCTTGTCAAAAATATTGCATCGCGTGCTTCTGGCATCGAGTCTGACACCACTTTGGTACCGAAAAACAAGCCATGTTTTGATACACGGTAGTACCGAGGCAATTCGGTCGGTACCTAAAAAGTACCGAACTCGGTACCCAGCCCTAATGCTATACGTTATTTAGATAGAGAGTAGCATTATATTATAAAGTTAAACTTGTCCAGAGCTTGCTCTAAAAAAACTAAAATGCTTAAGGAATTTTGAGAAACTAAAATGTAGGAATTGTGTTTATAGTTATAGTAACTGTTTTCTCTCAATAAATAGCAATATGGTATTCGATGTTTGGTTAAAAGAATGGACAAATAGAAGCAATTAAGGAAAAATAAGTTTTTCTACAATGAGCTTTTGTGCAAAATTCAACACTCAAACAAAAATAATTGTAATGTTCAGTTCTTTAAAACCACTAGTCAACGTGTTGTTTATTTATTTAACAGGGTAAAAACAAAGACTTGGAAACAAGAGTCAGACCTGATCAATGCCTACAGCATGAAGATGCTAAAAAAAATAATCTATTCCATAGACTTCATCTTGCAGGCTGGCAACAGGATAAACTGAAAGCTACATATGTTCTTCAGTTAACACCACATTCATTACAATCACATGAGTCTTGTGCTGAAGAGGAGCTGATTCAGACTTTCATTCAAAAACTACTGGTGATGGACTACAGAGCGATGTACATAAATATTAATGAGGGCAAGGAACAAGATCAAACAAAACGAAGAGACAAAAACTCTGAAAATGAGGGTGATATTTTTGATGATGTCTTTAAAGATACAACTTTATCCAACAAAGCAACAAGCCAATCTGAGCAAATTCACCCGATGGATGTTCAGATGGCTGTGTTTTATTGTGCTGATGGTTTCCTGAAGCAGTTGATGGTCACTAAACTGTCCCAGTGTCAGTACGCTTTGCCTCTGCTTGTTCCTGATCCATTCACACAACAGATTGAGTTTCCTCTCTGGACATTCAGACAAATCAACAAGAGCTGGAAGATGAAGAACACCAACAATGAGATCATCAGTCAAACCCATCCGGTCTACAAGGCACAAACTCCAATGGTGTCTTTCTTCAGGTTTGGCTCTGTGTCTTCATCCAAGTCTCAGCTGATGAACAGTCTGATCAATGAGAAACACAACACGTTCTTCCACAGGAACTGTCCAGGCAGCAGCAGAACCAGAGTCCTGATGGATGGAGTGGTGGAGATCGCCTGGTTCTGCCCGTCTGGGAAAAACACGGATAAATTCACTGACTGTGTTGCGTTCTGTAATCTACATGGTGATGCAGGAGATCACGAGAAACAGCTGCAGATCCTCACTGAAAGGGCCTCAGTCAATGTTGTTCTTTTACCACGACTGGACAGGTATGACAAAAGTGCAGAAAAAATCCAAAACCTGTACAAGGGCCGAAAGCCACTCATTTGTCTTTTTACAGAAGATGAATCTGCAGTAAATGAGATGAAAAAAGGAAAATTCAAAATAGGTTTGAAAGACAAAAATCACCCTGAAATAACTAAAGAACTCAGAAGAACTATAAACGAGTGTCTCTCAGAATCATCTTCCACTTTCAGACTTGAAGATTTGTCCAAACAATCAGGCATCAGAGTAGATGAGGAAGATGATGAAGACTGCAGGAGAGGAAGAGAAGCAGCACAGCAGATGATGAGTTTACTGGAGAAGAAAGATCTGACAGAAATTAAAGACTCATTTCTGCCTCATCAGGGGAAACTGTGGCATCAGTGGAGTCAGAAGAACAAAGAACTACATCGACCTCGAGCAGATGAGACAGAAAAGGATATCAGTAGAAAACAAACAGAGATGAAGAATATCCGTCACCAACAGCATGAATCTGATATCAGTGAGTTTATGAAATACTTTATTGATGAAATTAATGAAGATGCTGCAAATAAAAATATATATTTTCTGAAATTCCTTGAAATATACCTGGATGAATATATGTCTACTGACCTTTCTGCTATACATAAAAAATATGATGAAAAGTGGTCAGCAGTTGTAAGACTGAAAGAGAATGATGATAAATCCAATGAATTGGAAACTGAACAAGCAGAACTTGAGAAAATATCTGAAGATCTTCAAGCCGCAGCCTTTGGGTTGCAGCACATCATGAGGGAGATCGGTCAGATCTATGAATCGTGTTCATCTGTGGAGAAGAACAAGAAAGATCTGCAGTTTGACTTCTCTTCTCTCCCGAGTCTTGCAGCAGAGATGATGATCTCTGGATTTTCACTGGAGCTGATGGATGGAGATGCTGCTCATGTTCCTCTGGTCTGGATCTCTGCTGTTATAGATAAACTCATCCAGAAACTGGGAGACCAGAGAGTCTTTGTGCTGTCAGTTTTAGGGCTTCAGAGCTCTGGGAAATCCACCATGCTGAACACCATGTTTGGACTCGAGTTTGCCGTCAGTGCTGGCAGGTGCACCAGAGGAGCTTTCATGCAGCTGGTCAAAGTCTCAGATGAGATGAAAACACAGATGAAGTTTGACTATGTTTTGGTTGTTGATACTGAAGGTCTAAATGCCCTAGAACTGGCTGGAAGATCAACAAGACATCATGACAATGAATTGGCCACATTTGTTGTTGGTCTTGCAAACCTGACCTTGATCAACATCTTTGGAGAAAACCCATCTGAGATGCAGGACATTCTTCAGATTGTTGTTCAGGTCCTCATGAGGATGAAGAAGGTCAGACTAAATCCCAGCTGTGTGTTTGTGCATCAGAACGTCTCAGACGTCACGGCTGGAGAGAAAAATAAGGAGGGAAGAAGACGACTGCAGGAGACACTGGATGAGATGACAAAACTTGCTGCAGAAGTGGAAGTCTGTGATGCAGAATGTTTCAGTGATGTCATTAGATTTGATGCACGAAATGATGTGAAGTATTTTGCTCATCTTTGGGAAGGAAACCCACCCATGGCACCACCAAACCCAAACTACTGTGAGAATATTCAAGAACTAAAGGAAACTATTATGTCTCATGCAGCAAAATCAGATATAATGATGCTGATAGACCTAAAAGATCGTATCAAAGATCTCTGGGAGGCTTTACTGAAAGAGCAATTTGTGTTCAGCTTCAGAAATTCTCTGGAGATTTCAGCCTACAGAAAACTGGAGACTGAATACAGCAAGTGGTCCTGGAGTCTTCGCAGTGCCATGATGGAAACTGAGAACAAACTACACAACAAAATAGAAAATGAAGCAATTCATGAGGTTGAGGAAGCTGATCTTCAAAGAGAATTGAAGGAGACAAGTGATGAAGTGGAGAAATCAATGTCCGAATTCTTTGAGAAAGACAAAGATAAAGATATTCTGATTCACTGGAAATCATCATTTGAAATCAAAATCAAAGATGTTCAGGGAAACATTGTGAGAGAAACAAAGAGGAGATTAAATGAGATTCTTCAGCAGCGAGACCTGAAGAAAACAATTGACGCTCTGAAGATACATCATGAAAACACTCTCTATGAAAAGAGCAAAGAACTTGCCATAAAACTCAAAGACAAAGCAAATGATGAAGAAACACTGCATAAAGAGTTTGATTTGTTTTGGAAACACTATGTAAAGAAGATCATCACAGACACTCCTTCAATCAAAGACATTGACATTCTGACAAATGTAAAAAGTCTTCTCAATGACATCTATCAGGGATGTCTCCCAATAGACCATCTAAAAGAAGCCAGTGATTACAATATTTTCAATGTGTTGAGTTTTTCTGAGTACATTATTTTCAAAAGGTCCACAAAAAAAGATATTCGAGATGCTGCAAAGGATGCTTGCCGAACAGTTAAAGGAACATCTGGATCTGCTCAAACTTTGTCTCCAGAAGATGAAACCCAAATAAGATCATTAGTCACAGATATTGAACAGCAGACAGACACAAAGATTCTGTCATTTAACATTTCAAAGATGGGCTACAACATCAGCCGTGTTCAACAACTCATAGATTACATTAAGAAGAGAGTAACAGAACATCAGGAACAATCAGTGAATTATAAGTTCAAGAATGAATTCTTCGTGGATTTAGTCATTTCCATCTGTAAAAGAGCAAACAAGATGATAACTGACCAACACAGAATGTTTAAAGAAGCCAATGATCCAGAAATATATGTTGAGAAAAAGAGAGCGGAGTACTATAGTATTTTCCAGAAATACTGTCACGGAGCAACATCAGCTGCCATTTTTGGAGAGATCATCTGTCAGAAACTGAAAGAGCCCATTGAGCAGAGTGTCTACAAGAAGACTGCCAGAGATCTGGCAGGTGAAATGAGATCAAACTGTGAATCACTGAATGGAAACAGATCAAATCTGGAGAAACACATCCTGAAGACACTGGCAGAAAAAGATGGTTTTGACAAATACATGAACTACATTGATAATCCGAAGGATCACTTTAAGAGTTTCATCAGAGATGAAGTCAGTCGGTACATCTGCGATAAGTTCAATGTCAGTGTTTTACCCAAGATGAAGGAGAACATTAAACTCCTGCAGCAGAAGATCATGAAAGCAGCACATGAATCTACTGAACATGTTCAAGAGGACAGTGGAGATGTTGGATTATGGTTGAAGAGTTTCACACAGCAGCTCTCAGACGTGCTGATCTTCTCTGAAAAAGACCTCAGTGGAGTCAAACATGATGATGTTGATGATTTCAACCTCCTCGAAGATGTGATAAGAGAAGAACTTCCTGTTATAATTTCTGACATCATCAGTGGATTCAACACAAACACTTTTCCAGTAAAGCTGGACTATAAAGACAGATCAGATGAGCTTCTGATTGGTCACTTCTGTCAGTGCTGTTGGGTTCAGTGTCCGTTCTGTGTAGCCGTCTGCACCAACACCATAGAAAACCATGATGGAGATCACAGTGTTTCCTTTCATCGTGTTATTGGACTAAGTGGAATATTTTACTCTAATACATCTAACCTGTCTGCCCATATCTGCACATCAGCAGTAGCAAACAGCAATCTATCTTTTTATCCCAATGAATCGCAAAAAGTCCTCTGGAGAGATTACAGAACAGCGGGAGAAGATTATGCAAAGTGGAGCATCACCCCTGATCTCTCTGAACTGCCCTACTGGAAGTGGTTTGTGTGCAGATTCCAGACAGATCTGGAAAAACACTATAGTAAAACATTTGAGGGACAGGGTAAGATCCCAGATGAATGGAAAAAACACTCTAAACAGGATGCTTTAGAGAGTTTGGATAAATACATTTAGTTCCTCATTTGCAAGTCACTAAAAGTGGCTTTGATTTACAGAACACAGTTTGAAATTACTTTGTTCCTAACTTAAGTGAGTCTGAAATCATTTATTCATCAGTTCTGTCGGGACCACTATCATCAAATACGATTGACAAGTAGCATACAGTTAGGATTAGCGATTAGTTCTGTTCCGCATAAGAACTCCCTGCGCATCCACACAGCAAAATCCCCAGTGTTTAATTAACAGAAACCAAATCAGTCAGTCTCCCGTAAAGAATTATTCTAACACACACACAGCTTCTTCAAGGTTGGATTTGGTCAGCCTCTAACAATAAACAGGAGAGGCATCTCAAAACATCAAGATAATACTCTATTTCTCTCAAGGAGAGGACAGCAACACAGTTCTCAAGGAAAGGACACTTTTAATCTAACAGAAAAAGTATGACTTTAACAAAGAAATGGTCCCTTAAATTATAAACTACTGTCATGAACCCTGTGACAGTAGTTGTTAGGGTACCCTAGAAAAGCATGTATTGATACATGTTGAAGACCTTTCTTAAAAACATACCAAGTCCATATTTAATTTCTGGAAGCCGGGCTAAATGTGCAAGCACTGTTACTGTATTCCTGACATGGGCCAGAACCTTCAGTCACCTCTCAGATATGTAATACAGAAATTACAGATACATGAAAAGAACATTTCAGTAATCACACTGGTAAGTTCTATAACAAAGTAAAATCTCACAAGCCTCGAGGAGTCATTCAACTCATTTGATATTTAGACGAAAATATATTGATTAATACCTTGATTATAATCCCTCATTAAATATGCATTGAAGTAGCAGTGGATTCCAATCCACCCCTTTCACCTCTGTCCCAAAGTTTTTGGAATGTGTTGTATACATCAAAACAAAACAAAAATGTTTAAATTGAAAAAATACAAATAATTTGGTCTGTAAATCCTTTGAAATATTTTCCTTGTACCTTTGTGAGTGAAATAAAGTTTAAGACAATTTACTAATCAGGATTGTTGATTTTATTGCATTTAAAAAAAAACTTTTCTGGAAATGGGTTGTACATTTCTACAGCTTTCCTTGTGTGGATGAGTTCATGAATTATAGAAAAGACAGACACAATGAATAAGACAAACTGCTGACAACTGTGATGATCAGCAGCCGTGGTGCCCTCGAGAGCCACTAGAGGGCACTCTCTCCCCATGTTATGTTTCCCCATGGACTCTTTGTGTTTTATTATGTTCAGCTGTGTTTCATTATTGGTTATTGGGTTCCTTATTTAAGCCTGAGTTTTCTCTGTGTCCCTTGCGAAGTCTTGTTACCCTGTAAGCGTGCAATTCCGAGCGTTAGTCCCTGTTCTGTGTCCCCGTGTTTCCCTGGACTCTTGACCCTTGCCTATTTCCTGGACTGTTCATGAACCTGTGCTGCCTGCCTCGACCATTGCCTGTTTAGACCACGAGTTTCTGGATTGCCCCTTTGTTTAAGTGTTTGCCTGTGTTCATGTCTACTTGTTTCAGTTTTAATAAAGTGCTGCACATGGATCCGACCGTCTCTGTCCGTAAGTTACAACAACACCTTTGAACATATTATTTTTAAGAATAAGATTTAAGGTATTGTAGGTAGGATTGGAATAAAAAACTTTTTTCCAAATTTGTTTAAACTTTCTGTATATATCAATGCATAATTAAAATGTAAGAAAAAAATCGAGTGTCTGTAGACCTCTCACGACTGTTTTTAAGACAGCTCATTATTTCCATTAGCATTAGCATTTTCCAGAGCTAAACTCTTCAGGACAGTGGCCCTCCAGGATCAACGTTCCCCACCCCTGCCATAGTACGATGTAATTCTGTACCCAACCCTAGTGTGCATGTGTCTCATGTTTGTTCCTGCCCTACTTCCTGTGCCCTTCCCTGCCCTACTCTCCTGATCTAGCAGCCAGTCTGGTGTTTCTGCATTTACATCTCCCAGTGTCAAGCATCTGGTTCCTTAAGCCACTGCCTTGACACCATTTTTGCCTTGGCATCTGAAGCTTACTCATCCCCAACCAGCCTGTTCTCCTGTTGTGTGCCCTGCCCTTTTCTTTGGACTGTGTTCCCGCCTAACCAATCTTGTGCTGTGTCTTCTTTTGTTAATATATATCATTCTAATTCTGGGTGGTACCTCTAAGAATCTTGGCAGTTAAAGGCGCAGTACACTTGCCTGTGTGTACATGAGTAGGATTTTACCACCTTCACCTCATTTTGAGCCAGGAAAACCCTGTGTACACACAGAGAAACTTCAACACACAGGTATTAACTTTCTTTCTTTCTTTCTATATATATACATATTTGATTGATTGTTTTATGGAAATATATAGATAAGTGTAAGAATTATAAATGCACTTACTATCTTTAATGGTAGTTTACTTGTAAAAGAAAACTGTCTGTCCATTTAGTGTTGTGAACCATAAACATTTCGAAACAAATATACTTAATATAAAAAATGTAAGGGATATTACTACAATGTGTTGCAATAATTACATTTTATACTCAGAAAGTTGTTTTTGGATGTTCCTGGAGGGCCACAACCCTGTAGAGTTTAGCTTCAACCCTAATTAAACACACCTGATCAGCTAATCAAGTCCTTCAGGCTTATTTAAAAACTGCATGTGTGTGTGTGTGTGTGTGTTGAAGCAGGGTTGGAACTAAACTCTGTAGGGCAGTGGCCCTCCAAGAACTGAGTTTGACAACTGTGGGCTAGACCAAATTCAAAATATTTGACTGGAAATTGATGCTGAAATTGATGCTGTATAAGGAATTTACTGAGCGCTCTCTCCTCTCATGTGTATTTGGTGGTTCAAATAATTTCAATAATTCAAATGATGGTGAAATTCCTGCTTTTTACTTTAATAATCACTAAACAAGGCCTGATGCTGCGGTTAAGTCATCTCATATAGATCGTAATTACGAGTTGAACGCACTTGAACGCCACCACAATGTCGTAAATACCAGTGGGGAGCTCGGGATTTTCTTGAAGCCCCGATCTGTACGAGTTGGGGGCGTGTCAGTGAGAAACGTTCATTCAACGTCTGTTGACGGTACATTTTAATTGAATTTCAATGTTTACTCACTGACATTGTAAGGCTTTTTCATTTATAAAGCAAGCTCTCTGACATCATTATAATATAAAAATTATACCTAATGACAGAGTTTACATTGGCTTCATAAGCTAATAAAAAACATAAAAAGAAAAATTCATTAAAAGAAGGTACACCGCCATTTTGCTCCGACGAAACTGACTTGAACGCACCTCACGTCGTAAACACGACTTCCCACCTCATATGTATGAACTTCCCAGGAGGACTTGAACGCAGCATGAGATCCGAATCGTTTGTGTTTTCACTCATGTGTTTATCAATGTGCAAACTTCAGCACAAAAGCAAATTATATTAAATGATTATTGTTCGAATTGTTTTGGTTCTTCGCATTGCTGTCATAGCAAAATGTCCATAAACTCAAACTTGCATTTTATTTAAACAGGATTAGATTGGATCTTTGTTCTGTCCCAGCCACTGCTACGTTCTGACAAGAGTACCTTATTGAACAAGGGAGAATAATCATTTAAGATAATAACTTAAATGAATTTGGAAAAAATACTCATTGAGAGATTTAGAATTTTGAGGGAATAATAGCCTAATTTTTCTTTTTTTTTTCATATTTAGTAAGTCCAAGATTGCATTATTTTTGAACAGCTTTAATGGGAGTGGCTTGAGAGTTGCAGATAACTTTGTTGTGCAATTAGAAAAATGTTCTTGACCCTTAAGAAACTGTAATGCTGTCACGTAAGAAATCTACTTCAAAGGTAAAATAAAGAAATTGCTAAATACAACATTGAAAAAAAAATGTAAAGCCTGAAGCCTAAATATACTAGAAATTGTGTTATAATGAAAATAAATGGGAATACTGTAGCAAACAGACCCCTGGAGGCCACATGAAGACAATCTCAGACATTGCCTTGCTTCCAAAATCCTATTGTAATTAATACAATACTACAACTTGTCAACTTCAATGGATTAAAATAACAGTAAAAACAGTGATCTTGTGAAATGTTCCAATTTAGTATAACTTTTTTTTATTTGAATATTTTTAACAAGTTATTCATGTGAAGCTAAGCTGACTTTTCAGCATCATTACGCCACACACTGTAAAAAAATCTCCTTTAAATGAATGGTTATATCCTACCAAAAAAGTTGCCAGTAATTCACTGTTAATTTGTACAGATATTTACTGTACTCCTTACTGTAAAAAAGTCCTTAATTAAAACGCAAGTTAACTAATTTCATTTGTAGAAACAGACTGTCGTAAATTAGCAGACTGCCATTTAATTTAACTTCCATTTTTACTGTGAACTTATTTTATTATTATTTGAACCCACTAAATAAAATTACAAAATGTAAAAAGTAACTGAGTTTAACACACAGAAAAAATAACCATAACTTGAAACAATTTTAATTTAAATCTCTTGCAGATAACTGCTGGCTAAGAAATAATGAAAATAGTAAGACAGTTTAGCTACATAATTCATTCATGCCACCATGCATGCTGGGAGTTTTTTTAAGTATGCTGGCACCTAGCAAGTATTTTAGGACATAAAACCTTCGATAGTCACCATTGTTGAGATCCATATGCTGATTCTTGGTAAATATTTTATGCACCAGGTGTTTTTCAAAATAACTAATTACAAAACATAGCTGGATCTCATACTGTAGAATCAGAGAGATACTACAATTAACAAATATTAAATTAAAAGACCCATAACATCAGAATTAGACAAATCCATGACGATTACGGCATCATCAGAGTATAGCCAAAAACTCTTGATTAACTTTGCCAAAACAAACGTGCTTTACAAACCCAGTTACGGCAGCCAGAAAGAAATTAATGTTAAAAAGTGCCAAAAGTCCAACTTAAGCACACAATGATCACCTTAATGGTGACTTAAAACTAAACTATTGTTTCAATAAAATATGAACATATAAACCTCTGTTATTCTTAACAAGAAATGCTGTCCATGGAAATTGTATGAAAGAAATGTCTAACTGGTTTGCAAACTGGTTTTACACTTAGTGTGAAAGGCTGTGGCTGGATGTCAGTTGTAGTTAGCACAAATGTCTGCATGTCTACACTTGCTTCACATGCCCCACCTTTAAAACCATTTTTAAGACAAGTGTCACTTGTCTTATTCACTTTTTTGCTGCATTTTTTTCCAGCCAACAGCCTACAATTCACTGTGTAACCGCTATTCAGAGCCTAAAATAAAATAAAAACAACTATTTCTGTGTTTCTCTGTCTTCTCACTTGTATTTTTATTAGAAGCAACTGATTTTCCAAAGCTGAAAAGAATGTAAATTAATAAAATTGTCCACAGGGCTGCAAAAGGAAGCTCAGATGGCGGTATGAACTACAGCACTGAATAAGGACACTGACAACATCAGTGGACTTCAGAATGGCCGACGGGGAAGGCAGATGTGAGTGCACAAAGTTCATGAAACATTCACCTTTGGCTTCTTAATGTGATCTTGGCCACATTCAGCAACAGAATATTGCAGAATATTGTTGTCAGTCTGGTTTTGAAGTGCTAAATACAGATTTGAATCTCCCAGTAAGTCAGTTAAATTATTCGACAGCGAAATAAAAGTATATTATAGTTTTTAGTTTTGATGAACTATTACTGCTCAACATTTGTTATAATTATAAACAATGTAATAATTTAATGCAGATACAATGAGCTCATTGAAAAAAACGAATACTTGCTTGTAAACAAATGATTATGATTTAGAAAATATAGCATTGGAACAACATTACCCGAATAGACAAAGTCACACTAATATACAAGTACAAAACAACTATTTCTGTGTTTCTCTGTCTTCTCACTTGTATTTTTATTAGAAGCAACTGATTTTCCAAAGCTGAAAAGAATGTAAATTAATAAAATTGTCCACAGGGCTGCAAAAGGAAGCTCAGATGGCGGTATGAACTACAGCACTGAATAAGGACACTGACAACATCAGTGGACTTCAGAATGGCCGACGGGGAAGGCAGATGTGAGTGCACAAAGTTCATGAAACATTCACCTTTGGCTTCTTAATGTGATCTTGGCCACATTCAGCAACAGAATATTGCAGAATATTGTTGTCAGTCTGGTTTTGAAGTGCTAAATACAGATTTGAATCTCCCAGTAAGTCAGTTAAATTATTCGACAGCGAAATAAAAGTATATTATAGTTTTTAGTTTTGATGAACTATTACTGCTCAACATTTGTTTAATATACAACAAATACGTTGTGAATAAGAACATTTGAAATTCACCAGTGCACAAACACTAATAGGCACTGAAGCGTTTGCCAAATCTATTTCACCAATGATATTATTATAGTATCGACTAAGGATGCTCTTGCTTTCGGTTAAGGTTTCTTATATTTAAATTTGACTTTGTGATGTTTTTTTACCCATTTAGAAAATTAACAAAAAACTATTTGTAAACAAACATTACTTTGCATGCCCCCTATAGTACCGTTGCGGACCCCTGTTTTAAATTGATTCAGATTTTTTTTCTTTACACCTACAAATGTGACTACTTAATTTTTTTAGTGCGGATGTAAGATTCTCATGAAAAATAATAAAATTAACTGCATTTTACAATAATTATGTTTATAATTGACATTCAATACCCTATGAGGTCTAAGACTGTGATTTTCAACCTGGGGCTGCCGCCGACTATAGGGCTAACAAGTCAAGGACTTACTTTCAATGAACGCGTGTGATGTGAATAAGCACAGTGAGTTCAAAGCTAAGAAATCTCTGAATATTAAGACAAATAAATATTTTTTTCATCCCAATCCCAAACAGTACACATACAAAAAAAAAAATTATTTCACTTACGTGATTGCAAATTTAGTGTCTGTGACAAAGGCACAGTGAAATTTGGGCATGAATATTTGCCGCATACTGTAACTTATCCAAAGACACTGGATCTGAATTTAGGTGGAAACACATTTTGAATTGCATGTGAGATTGTCATGGCATTTCAGGCTATTTTAAAATGTAGAGGCATGATCATTAAATAAGTTACTGCTATGGGCTGAAAAGCAATGTTTTTAATATCCTCCATACCTGTAATTTGATAAACACATTAACAAAAATTGACTTTATGCATGTTATTGATTTTCTATATTGTAATTTGACTGCATAATGCATTTAGCATTATTAAATTCTGCTCTTTTATATACAGCACAGTATACCGAGTTACATTCTGTTGAAATCTTAATTGTAACATTTTTTTGCTCTGTAGCTGTTGTTCAGACTTTTCACACAATTCCCCAGAGTCCCATGAGTAAGTATTTAAATAAAACTCTGAATTGATGTAAGATTTATTTTGCTTGTACTGCTTTTTCATAACACAGTGTGTGTTTCAGAGAGTGATCTGAGGATTGTTCTACTGGGGAAGAGCTTGGCAGAAAACAGTCGCGTGGGAAAACTCATATTAGGGAATGAAAAGTTTGACAGTAAAGCGCCATCAGATCAGGTGCAGACAGAAAGAAAAATGCACAAGACAGTGATCAACGCTCCTCACCTTCTCCAGCCACATCTCTCAGACAATCAGATCATAGAGACAGTGAGAAAGTGTCTGTATCTGTCTGATCCAGGACCTCACGTGATCATTCTGGTCCTTCAACAAGATCAATGTTCAACAAAAGATCAAGAGCATGTGGAGAAGGTGCTCAACGCTTTCTCTAACAAAGTTTATGAATACACCATGGTGCTCACGACACAAGAGTCAGACAGTGTTGAGCCAGCCAAAGTCAATGGCTTTATAAAGGAAATGATAAAAAAATGTTTTAACAGACATTACAAACTTACAAAGAACAGCCCTTCTGCTGACCTTAAAGAGAATTTAGAGAAATTTGCACAAATGAACAGTGGACACTATCTGATTTGTGATGAATTTGAAGGTTCAGAGAATTCAACGGAGCAACAGGACAGAGAAAGAGGTGAGTCTGAAAATATTTTATAAAATTGTGATTTTACTGATTCCTAATAAATATAAGTAAATTACAAAAGTAGATTAAAAAATAAGTAAAATAAATGAATCAGATAAGAATTTGAATTTCAGATGGTCATCCTTGATCTTTTTCTGTGGTGCATTTTATTGTAGAGATTAAAGTTATTTTTTTGTTTTTGTTTTTTTTACTTCAGGTCGTAAGAAGTCACCTTTGACCGTTGCACTATTTGGCAACTCTGCATCAATCCAGTTTCGACATGACAACATTTTACTTGGAGAAGAAGAGTACTGTTTTAAAACTACAGACACATCCAGGATCATTCCTTTACCAAGGGAAATAGCAGAACACAACATCTCTGTGATCAACATGACTGCCAGAAATGAGACTGAACTTAACAAGGACTGTGTGGATCATCTCATTGATCAACTAGTGAATGAAAATGAAATCCATGCCTTCATCTTTGTTGTGCGACTGGGTCAGTTAACAGATGCTGACAAGAAGAGTCTGGAATGGCTTCAGAGAGTGTTTGGTGAGAAAGTTCTTCAGTTTGTGATGATTCTCTTCACCTATGAGACAGAAGAAAAGTCTAAAACTATAAAATACCCTGTTCTGGAGCAACTGCTGGAGAAATGTGGAGGAAGATTTTACACCTGCAACAAGATGATGAACAACCAATCAGAGATGAGAGAACTGATGAACAAGATTGAGCTTCTGTTTAATGAGAATAAACAGCAGCGCTACATTGAAATAAGGCGAAACTTTGAAAAGAGTGTAAAAGAAAGTGGTAAGAAATCAGTTTTGTTTTCTGTATGCATTATAGCTTGAATATAATATGGTAGTACCAAAGTGAGTTGTGATTCAAGCGCAGGAATTACCACTTCAGAGAACCAAATATTTCAGTTTTCCACCTTCGTTTGTTTTAACAGATAGAATCACAATCACGAAAGAGAATACGCAGCGAATCTCGACAACCATGGGGAAAGATACACACAAGGTATGTGCTGGCTGAAATATAACTACAGAATATCAGCACTAAGTCAAAAGAAAACATTTTTAACATCTATGTAGGATACAAGCTGAAGTAATGGTGTGAAGTTAGAAAATGTTCCTTTGTCACATTTTATCTTCCGTTTTAGAAATATCTAGGATGCAAAACTGTAGAAAAACTAATAATGTACTGAAAGTAAGGTATGGAAAGTGACCCAATTAAAGGTTCTCTAAGCGATCCTGGGTGTTGACGTTCGGAATATTTTCAAACAAATTGGAGGCTAGCTAGACCCTCCCTCCTCCGCATCTCATCTCCTCCCCCTCCCTTCCGTGCTTCCTGAAATAATTGTGAACGTGCATTTCTAACTAATTACATCCTTCCTTGTGTGGGTTTGGCGAACATAAGCGTCAATTTAGAAGAAAAAAAAACAATTTAACGTTACCCACCTGTCCAGCAAAAACAGAGCAACCTGAATGTCGGACTGGAAGCCCTTCTGCCGCCGGAGTTCTCGCCATCGTTCAAACGCTTTGCTACCGATGTAAATTCGGAACTTCGCACGTTCTTTATCCGACTCCTTCTTCTTTTTAATTTGTTCTTCAGAATGACGTCTCTTTGGTCGTGTGTCGGCCATTTTTCAAACTTCCCTCTGATGCTTCTCTTCTTTCACACACACACCCCCCCTTCATGTGCACGCGCACTAACCCCCCAGACCCACCCTCAAATACTTCCTGCCAGTGATTGGCTGGAACACTGTTTGTTAGGTTTCGTGGTCCGGGTGAGACATGATTGTTTTTGTTGCCGTTTGTGGAGCCTGTGGTGTCTACAGAGACCGCGTTTTTTTACAGTGTGTTTAGGGGACAGGCAGCTAGCCGATAGTGAGGAGACGTTTGATGTATGTGACAAAAAATGTTTTGGCCCCACATCGCTTAGAGAACCTTTAAGGCAACAAATATCCCAGTTTTAATTGTTTTCATATACTGTAGATACTTCAAATACAGTATTAAATGGATTTAGATTTAGTTCTCAATTAAACATTTATGTTAAGTTTTATCATAGATTTACAAAATTAAAGATGGCATTGTGACATGGATTTTATAAAATTAAGTTACTTAAACAATTAATCCACAAGTTTTAAAGTGGACATACAGGAGATATACACACAAGTTTCCGAAGTGATATATACGCACAAATTTGGAGGAATTTAACTCTGTTAAAAACTCCCTTCTATTTAGAAGCGCATATTTTATTGAACATCATTATTTTATTGAACACCTATTTTAACTGCAGTGTTTACATGGCCATAGGACGTATAGGCTGCATATGTTAAAGTGAAGTGCACTACTTTAGCGCCAACTTGCTGAGCATGTGCTTATTAAACAGGATTTTCAGTGTCTCAGAGCAGTTCAATTTGCAGTAGGCCTTGGCAATATGGCCAAAGATCTTTTCATAATTACGTTCGCATTTTATATTTTTAAATTTCAACATTTATTAATATTCAATATTAATATTAATTCGATGTCATTTCATACCATATTGTAGAGATGTGGTGGTGGGCTAATTTTACTTTGGGAACTGTAGTGAAGCCATTGTATATATTTGTTTTCGATAGCCTTAAATTTTGACCAGATGTGGTATAACATAGCAACATATGTTTTTTCAATATTTACAAAATATAAAATGTGTCTTTTTATCTTAATTAAAACTGATTTATTGATTAATTGTTAAGATCAAAAGTTGCATTCCTGCATCAATGAACAATGTCCTTCATTAAATAAATGGCTGTTTCTTTCACAGGTAATAGCTTTAGAAGAAGAAACAAGATTGGAACAAGACAATGCAAAAGAAATTGATGGAAAAACAAAGCATCTCTTGAATAGACTTCATCTTAAAGGCAGGCATCATAAACTGACAACTGCAGATTTTCTTCAATTAACAGCACATTCATTAAAATCCACTGAATCTTGTGCTGAAGAAGAGCTGATTCAGACTTTCATGCAAAAACTACTGATGATGAACTACAGAGCAAGATACATTCATGTTGAGAAAAACGGACAGCATCACAAAAAACAAAGAGACTATGACTCAAATGCAGATATGGATGATATCTTTAAAGCAATGTCTTTTTCTAATGAAGGAATCAATCAATCTGATCGCATTCACCCAATGGATGTTCAGATGGCCGTGTTTCATTGTGCTGATGGTTTCCTGAAGCAGTTGATGGTCACTAAACTGTCCCAGTGTCAGTACGCTCTGCCTCTGCTTGTTCCTGATCCATTTACACAACAGATTGAGTTTCCTCTCTGGACATTCAGACAAATCAACAAGAGCTGGAAGGTGAAGAACACCGACAATGAAATCATCAGTCAAACCCATCCGGTCTACAAGGCACAAACTCCAATGGTGTCTTTCTTCAGGTTTGGCTCTGTGTCTTCATCCAAGTCTCAGCTGATGAACAGTCTGATCAATGAGAAACACAACACGTTCTTCCACAGGAACTGTCCAGGCAGCAGCAGAACCAGAGTCCTGATGGATGGAGTGGTGGAGATCGCCTGGTTCTGCCCCTCTGGGAAAAACACGGATAAATTCACGGACTGTATTGCGTTCTGTAATCTACACGGTGATGCAGGAGATCATGAGAAACAGCTGAAGATCCTCACTGAAATGGCCTCAGTCAATGTTGTTATTCTACCTAAACTTCAAAACAATGACAAAAGTGCAACAGTAATCCAAAATCTTTACAGGAACAGAAAGCCATTTATTTGCCTTTTTACTGAGGATGAATCTCCTGTAACCGAGCCGATAAAAGGAAAATACAAGATTGGGTTGAAAGACAGAAATCAGTCAGAAGTATCTGAAGAACTCAAAAGAACTATAAATGAGTGTCTCTCAGAATCAGCTTCCACTTTCAGACTTGAAGATTTGTCCAAACACTCAACAGACATCAGAGTAGATGAGGAAGATGATGAAGACTGCAGGAGAGGAAGAGAAGCAGCACAGCAGATGATGAGTTTACTGGAGAAGAAAGATTTGACAGAAATTAAAGACTCATTTCTGCCTCATCAGGGGAAACTGTGGCATCAGTGGAGTCAGAAGAACAAAGAACTACATCGACCTCGAGCATATGAGACAGAAATGGACATCAGTAGAAAGAAAACCGAGATGAAGAATATCCGCGAACAGCAGCATGATTCTAACATCACAACTTTTATACAGTTGTTTTTTAAACAAATCCAATGTCACGCTGAGAATAAGATGTATTTTCTGAAATGGCTTGAAATCTTCCTAACCTCAAAAAATATTTTTGTTCCTTACAAATACTATAAATCTGAACAACTAGAGGTTGAACAAACTGGCCTTGAGAGAATATCTGAGGAACTTCAAGCCGCAGCCTTTGGGTTGGAGCACATCATGAGGGAGATCGGTCAGATCTATGAATCATGTTCATTTGTGAAGAAGAACAAGAAAGATCTACAATTTGACTTCTCTTCTCTCCCGAGTCTTGCAGCAAAGATGATGATATCTGGATTTCCACTGGAGCTGATGGATGGAGATGCTGCTCATGTTCCTGTGATCTGGATCTCTGCTGTTCTAGATAAACTCATCCAGAAACTGGGAGACCAGAGAGTCTTTGTGCTGTCAGTTTTAGGGATTCAGAGCTCTGGGAAATCCACCATGCTGAACGCCATGTTTGGACTCCAGTTTGCCGTCAGTGCTGGCAGGTGCACCAGAGGAGCTTTCATGCAGCTGGTCAAAGTCTCAGACGAGATGAAAACACAGATGAACTTTGACTATATTCTGGTTGTTGATACTGAGGGTCTTCGTGCTCTAGAACTGACTGGAAGTTCAACAAGACATCATGACAATGAACTGGCCACATTTGTTGTTGGTCTAGGAAATTTAACCTTGATCAACATCTTTGGAGAAAACCCATCTGAGATGCAGGACATTCTTCAGATTGTTGTTCAGGCCTTCCTGAGGATGAAGGTGGTCAAACTGAATCCCAGCTGTGTGTTTGTGCATCAGAACGTTTCAGACGTCACAGCTGGAGAGAAAAATGAGGAGGGAAGGAGACGACTGCTGCAGACACTGGATAAGATGACAAAACTTGCTGCAAAAGATGAAGTCTGTGATGCAGAACGTTTCAGTGATGTCATTAAATTTGATGTTCAGAATGATGTGAAGTATTTTGCTCATCTTTGGGAGGGAAACCCACCCATGGCACCACCAAACCCAAACTACTGTGAGAATATTCAAGAACTAAAGAAAACTATTATGTCTCATGCCTCAAAGTCACATGGAACGATGCTGATAGACTTAAAAGATCGTATTAAAGATCTCTGGGAGGCTTTACTGAATGAACGATTCGTCTTCAGCTTCAGAAATTCTCTGGAGATTTCAGCCTACAGGAAACTTGAGACAAAATACAGCAAGTGGTCCTGGAGTCTTCGCAGTGCCATGATGGAAATTGAGAACAAACTACACAACAAAATAGAAAATGAAGCAATTCATGAGGTTGAGGAAACCGATCTTCAAAAAGAACTGAAGAAGACAAGTGAAGAAGTGGAGAAATCAATGTCAGAATTCTTTGAGAAAGACACAGATGCAGATATACTGGTTCAATGGAAATCATCATTTGAAATCAAAATCAAAGAGATTCAGGAAAACATTGTGAGAGAAACAAAGAAGAAATTAAACGAGATTCTTCAGCAGCGAGACCTGAAGAAAAAGATTGATGATCAGAAGACACATCATGAAAACACTCTCTTTGAAAAGAGCAAAGAACTTGCCTTAAAACTCAAAGACAAAACAAATGATGAAGAAACACTAAAGAAAGAATTTGATTCATTCTGGAAACACAGTGTGAAGAAGATCATCAGAGACACTCATCCAATAAAAGACAATGACATAATGAGAGATGTGAAACTCTTCCTCAGTGACATCTATGAAAGTGCTCCTATAGGTCACTGGATGGACAGCACGGATATTTTCTCTATGCCAAGTTATACTCAATACGTTCTTTTCAAAAAGGAGTTCAAAGAGTCTGTAATCAAGTCATCTAGATACACTCAAACATTGTCTCCAGAAGATAACATAAGAAATTTCATCACAGATGTTGCTCAGCAGACAGACAAAATGATTCAGTCATTCAACATTTCAAAGATGGGCTACAACATCAGCTGCATTCAACAAATCACAGATTACATCAAGATGAGAGTAACAGAACATCAGAAAACATCTGTGGAATATGAGTTCAAGAATGAATTCTTCATGGATTTAGTTCATTCCATCTGTAAGAGAGCAGAGCAGATGATCTCTGACCAACACAAAATGTTCAGAGACGCCAATGATCCAGAAATATATGTTGAGAAAAAGAGAGAAGAGTACTATAGTATTTTCCAGAAATACTGTCATGGAGCAACATCAGCTGCTATTTTTGGAGAGATCATCTGTCAGAAACTGAAAGAGCCCATTGAACAGAGTGTCTACAAGAAGACTGCCAGAGATCTGACAGATGAAATAATGAAAAACTGTTCATCACTGAATGGAAACAGATCAAAACTGGAAAAACACATCCTGAAGACACTGGCTGAAGAGGAGGATTTTGACAAATACATGAACTACATTTATAATCCCAGAGATCACTTCAAGAGTTTCATCAGAAATAAAGTCAGTCAGTACATCACTGATAAATTCAAAGGCAGTGTTTTACACAAGATGAAGGAGAATGTTAAACTCCTGCAGCAGAAGATCATAAAAGCAGCACATGAATCTACTGAACATGTTCAATTGAACAGAGGAGATGTTGGTTTGTGGTTGAAGAGTTTCACACAGCAACTCTCAGACGTGCTGATCTTCTCTGAAAAAGACCTCAGTGGAGTGAAAATTAGTGTTGCTGATAATTGCAACCTCCTAGAAGATGTGATAAGAGAGGAACTTCCTGCTATAATGTCTGATATCTACTGTAAATTCAACACAGAGGCATTTCTAGTAAAGCTAGACTATACGTTTAGGCCAGATGAGATTCTGATTGATCACTTCTGTCAGTGCTGTTGGGTTCAGTGTCCGTTCTGTAAAACAGTCTGCACTAACACCATTGAAAACCATCATGGAGATCACAGTGTTGCTTTCCATCGTAGTATTGGACTGAGCGGAATTCATTACGACAATACATGCAACTTGTGTACTCATATCTGCACATCAGCAGTAGGAAACAGCAATCTATATTTTTATCCGATTGGATCAGAAGATAAAGTCCTCTGGAGAGATTACAGAACAGCAGGAGGAGTTTATGCAGACTGGAGCATCACATCTGATCTCTCTGAACTGCCCTACTGGAAGTGGTTTGTCTGCAGATTCCAGAAAGATCTGGAAAAATACTACATGAAAACATTTGTGGGGAGTGGTAAGATACCAGATGAATGGAAAATATACTCCAAACAGGATGCTTTAGAGAGTTTGGATAAATACATTTAACTGAACAAGTACAAGTTTCTTTTAGTTCTTTGATTTACAGAAGTTACTTCACTGAAGCTGAAATCATCTAAATATCTTTGATACCTTGGGACACTTTAGAGAGAAGAGTTTAAAGATTTAATAGCATTCTGTTTCAAAAGACTATGTATTGGTAAACTGATCAATCAATTAAGACTTATAGTTGTTGGAGCAAAATACCTAAATGGTGACAAAATAATCGTTAAAGTCTTTATTTGTCCTTTCTAATTTATTTTGAGCACTTCACAGCATCCAGCTGACTTAAAAAAATATATCTTCTTCTTTGCTTTCGCTATTTCTTAATGCCCTCCTTGCTCTAGCCTGTACTATTCTAGACATTGTTTAAACATTTATATTATCAACACTTCTCATGTAATTGTCTCCCTGAGATGAATCCTTGTTTTACTTATTTACAGTACAAGTCATTTTGGATAAAAGCATCTGCTTAATCAATATATGTGAAAATGTGCGTGTAGTTTACATTACTTTTCGTTGTTCAATTTTATTTATGTATTGTAGTTATAGTTGATTTCATTATATTTTGATTTTTAATTTATATTAAAAATATAGTGGCTGGCAAAGGTAATTGTTTTATTAAGATAATTTAGGGGTTTAACTATGTTCAAGTTCAATGAAGGTGAGTCATGAATTTTAAAATGTGCTGGGTTTATTTTAGTCTCCAGAGTTTGTTTTCATTTCATATTACTAATTACTTTTTGCATTCTTTCTAAAACCTGCCACAAACTTGTAAAAATACAAATATGATACCTGATAGTACTTTCAGTACTGTCCAATAAATTCCTGCAAATGTGCAGCTTTATGTCTGTCCATCTAAGTTTCTACTGTGTTTAATTGAGTGTGAATGGTAAACAAGCATGTTTGTAATTATTATGTTTAGTAAGGCCATATGCAAATACGTGTACATTTGAATGATCATGAATTATGATGTGATTCACACCTGAGAAGATTAATCCGATACCCAAATGAGGCTTTTAGTGAGGAATGTGAGGGAACTACAAGAAAGAATGTGAGAAAAAGAGAAATATGTTTTTGTGTTTTTTTGTTGTTGTTGTTGTTTTATAGTATAGTAGTATTGTACAAAAGGCCCGGATACCTTTAAATGTCCTGGACGATTTCAACCAATCATAGAGTACAAGGTTGCCATAGTGACATTCGTGCTGAGGTGAATTGGTGCTGAGGTGGATTCAGTCGGAGAGAGAAGACGCATCATAATTATTAGTTAAGATACTTGACAGTTTCAATTTAGTTAATCTGTAGTGTTCGACGATTATTCAGCTGGTTTACATATACATTGAGTCGCTGTGTGCGTACATACCAAGTAAGTTTATATTTCCAAGTTTTTCCGTTAGTATGCAGAAACTGTTAGGCGATGTTCATTAGCGCGAGCGATACCTGATTGGCATAAATCTGCCTGTATTACTTCCTCTTTAGTAATATTTCGGAGATTCTGCATGTTACTTTATGTTATGTATGAGACATTATGTTATTATTAGTTTTACGGTTACTTTAGAGATGATCATTATCATGAGGTAATCAGCGCCGTATACTGAGCATATGGAATGTCTAGTTAAACGCATTTATGTGCTATTAGCACCTCCTTGTGGTGATGTTTAGAATTATTATTCTGTCTGATAGCACTTCCTTAATGGGTTTGTTAGACTGAATGCTGTTAATAATGTTTATTATTAATGATGTATATGTATGTTAATGTTTATTTATTTGTTTAATTTGTTATAGAACCACACCTACATACCCCATATGTAAATCAACCAGCTCTTCAGTAAATAAGTGAAGTTTGAACCCTGCCTGGTGTGTCTGTTCAACTAAGCCTCATCTTATACAGTTCTGACCGACTGCCTGCTGCGTTTCACATCCTTTAAAATTAGTCTACTATCGAACCTCTTCATTTCAATGGTCCTTCGAGCCGGAGCGTGAATCACAGCAGAGAGATGACATCCCACTTTGAGCCAGACACTCCTGTTGTTCGACCTAGACGACAGATAAGGCTGCCTGCACATCTAGCAGATTATCAAGTTACTGATTCAACGAATATGAAGAGAGCGTTACCTCTGTTTCCTCCAACTGCTGAGAGTGTGTCACAATCATCTTCTCCAGAGAGCCAGTCACCGTATCCAGATGGCCTACTACTATGTGATGAATGGCCAGATTTAGCAGAAGATGTGGCACCAGAGTATAATGAGCCCCGCCAAGACCAGCATCTCTTTGATATTAAAGCTATGTGGACTGAGATGAAAAGAGATAGCAATGAGCTTCGCAGTCACATTCTACCTGAGATACTTTCTACGCTGCGAGGGCTCCAAGTGGAGAATGCTACGTTGAAACAAGAAATTCAGCAGATAGCCACAGAAAGAGTGACTCCTGGTCGACCAGTAACGCCAGTTCCAGCCCCTCGCACCCATGTGCCATCATCCGTCCATAGACAGAGAGGTTCTACAGAGTATGCTGGGGAGGTTCCTCTAGATCGATTTGCCCAGTACGAGCAGCTGACAAAGCAGATGGGAGACTTCACGTTTTCACCCAGGCCAGAGCACCCGTATGCTGGAAGGAGTCGCCCTGTCCCCTCTCAGAGGTCCTACGCCCACTCAGTACAGCCTGTAACAGCTGTTCAGCATGACAATGAGCCACTTAGTCCTAGAAGCAGCTATCGTCAAAGTGGTAGAGACTTCCAACAGACTCCATGCCCAGAGCTGACGTCTAGATCAGAAATGCAGCCAGTTTATGAGCAGGTTTACCAAGGCCCTAAGCCTACCATCCCCCGTCTGACAGCAGCAGATCCCAGACAGTTTTCGAGATTACGGATGGCGCTAGAGAATCTTCTGCCAATGAATGCGACTGAACGCTTTAAGTATCAGATCCTGACTGATCATTTAGAGCTGGAAGAGGCCCTACTAGTAGCAGATTCCTACTGTAATTCAGTGAGACCTTATACAGACACTATGCAAGCTCTCGTGAAGATGTATGGTCAGCCCCACAAGCTTGTGCTGTGGAATATAGCTGAAGTACTAGAAGGTCCCAATCTCAAGCCAGGTGATGTTAAAGCATTCAAGTTCTTCGCCCTCCGTGTACGCTCATTAGTGAGTATGTTGGAGCAGTTGGGGTCTGAGGGAGCATCTGAGTTAGAATGTGGCTCACACGTGTCCAGACTCCAGGGCAAGCTTCCCCACGAGCTACAGATCAGTTTTAAGAGATATGTCCACCCATCTAGGATCACAGTCCCCACCCTCATCGACTTTGCAGACTGGTTAGAGTATGAGCTCCAGGTCCAAGACGACACTGCCAAGACAACTACTTATGCTCCACCCTTAGCTATTAAGAAGCGAGAAGGCCGTTACAACCCCAAGTCTCCTGGTCGATCGACAAGTTTCCTGCTGGGTACAGAGAAGCCTGCTGTAGACAGTGAACGCAGAGTGTCCGCTCCAGAGTCCCGGTCCAGTTCTGCACGGTATCAAGAGAAGGTACGTGCCTACTGCCCTTACTGTGATAACGCCAGTCATTTCCTTAATGGATGTCACAACTTCAAAGAATTAACCAGAGACCAGAAAGAGACCTGGATTCGTAAGAATAATCGTTGTTGGAGATGTGGCCGCAATCATCATGCTTCCAGGTGCACACTGAAAGCCTTGTGCAAGACCTGCAACAGAAAACACCTCCTTATATTGCATGATGTGAATGATAAAGTTGCGACTGACAGTACAACGCTCCCACCCCCAGAGAACTCCTGTCTTGTGAGTACCACAAACGACATCCTGTACGTTGACCGTTCTGTCAGTAGCCGTAGAGTAATGTTAAAGGTGAGCAAGGTGATCATCACGAATGGAGATGCATCGTTAGAGACATATGCAGTGCTTGATGACGGGTCTGAAAGGACTATCCTCCTTCAAGCAGCCGCGCTGCAGCTGAATCTCAAAGGACAATCAGAAGATCTGATACTCAGAACAGTGAGACAAGATCAGCAGGTGATTCATGGGGCGGCCGTTTCTTTCACAGTATCATCTGTGTCTCATCCTCACAAGAAATATCTCATCCAACATGCCTTTACAGCTGAGAAACTAGGTCTTGCTGAACACACCTACTCGGTGGCTTCCTTAAAGAAGAGGTATCGACACCTAACAGGCCTTCCACTGCAGCAGATGGATAAAGTGCAGCCGATGTTGTTGATAGGGTCAGACTGCCCACACCTCATTACGCCTGTTGAACCAGTCCGGTTAGGCCCACCAGGTGGACCTGCTGCAGTTAAGACCCGCTTAGGATGGACCTTCAAGGTCCTACCCACGAGATTCGTCGTGAGATTAACACACACCAGTGCTTCTTTACCTCTATCCTCCCTAACGCAGATCTGTTTGCTCACGTAGAGAGATTATGGCAGATGGATGTGATTCCGTACCGCAGCAACAAGGTGGTGACGAGATCTAAGCTGGACCAAGAAGCTATTAGGCTCTTGCAGGAGAAGACTGTGAGAGTGGAGGTGGAAGGGACTATGAGGTATGCTACGCCGCTGCTGAGGAGTCAGAGTATGCCACAGCTAACCATGGCCAAAGAAGCTGTTCTTCCTCAGCTAAGGAGTGTCGAGAGGAGACTGCTAAAGAATCCAGATCAGGCTTCGGCCTACCAGGCGGAGATCACGAGGCTGAAGGAGGCAGGTTACATAGCCAAGCTGCAACCAAGGGAAGTGATGAGCTCTGCAGAGTCATGGTACATACCTCACCATATGGTGCAGCATAACAACAAGAATCGGGTTGTCTATAACTGCTCCTTCCAATATGAAGGTCACAGTCTTAACGAGTTCCTCCTTCCAGGACCCACGCTTGGCTCATCCCTTTTAGCAGTTCTGCTCCGCTTCCGAGAGCATCAGGTGGCCATAAGCAGTGATATTCGAGGTATGTTTCACCAGGTGAGGCTGCTCCCTGATGACATGCCCCTCCTCAGATTCCTGTGGCGTGACCTGAAGCCAGAACAACCCCCTGATGTGTACCAGTGGCAAGTTCTCCCCTTTGGTACCACATGCAGTCCCTGTTGTGCCACCTATGCCTTGCAGAGGCATGTCATAGACCACAGCCAGTCTGGGGACCCAGTCAGAGAGGTAATCGAAAGATCATTCTATGTCGATAATTGTCTACATAGTCTTCACTCTCCCAGAGAGGCCAGAGACCTAGTTGACCAATTATGTTCTCTCTTAACCACCGGAGGGTTTGAGCTTCGACAATGGGCCAGTAATTGCCCGTCAGTGGTTACTCACCTCCCTTCTGAGTCAAGATCAAATACCTGTGACCTCTGGCTTAGTCATGGCCAACAAGATACCCATGAGTCTACGCTCGGACTACACTGGCATTGTCAGTCTGACACCCTACGTTACAAACACAGAGGTAGCCGCTGCTCTACTGTGACAATGCGCAGTATCTACCACGTGCTGGCCAGCCAATATGACCCTCTCGGTTATATGATCCCTTACACCACCCGGGCGAAGGTATTGGTCCAGCGATTATGGGATAAGAAGCGCGAGTGGGATGATCCGCAGTTACCTGAAGAACTCATTACTTCATGGTTAGAGTGGGAGAAAGAGTTGAGTGGGATAGAGAAGATATCCTTACCTCGGTGCTATGTCAGCTCGCAGATGGATCACCAGTCCTGTAGATACGACATCCACGTTTTCTGTGATGCATCTGAGCAGGCGTATGGTTCCGTGGCCTATCTGCGGACAGAGGACAAAGAAGGTCAAGTGGAAGTCATCTTTGTCGCCGCCAGATCCCGCGTTGCGCCCCGGAAGCAGCAATCTATACCCCGCTTAGAGCTGTGTGCCGCTCTCACTGGAGCACAACTCTCCCAACTCCTGAATACAGAGCTTACAATTCCCATTCACTCCACTACGCTCTGGTCAGACTCCACCACCGTGCTCACATGGCTTACTTCCAGCTCATGTCGCTACAAGGTGTTCGTAGGAACACGGGTGGCGGAGATCCAAGAGATAACAGCTTCAGCCAACTGGCGCTATGTCAGATCTGCAGACAATCCAGCGGATGACATCACTCGAGGCAAGCCTCTACGTGACCTTGCTACAGGGAGCCGTTGGAGCCAGGGACCAGCCTTCCTCAAGCTGCCACCGGCTAGTTGGCCCGGGCAGCCCCCTCTGTCGTTCGAAGAGTCAAGCAGTGAGTTGAGACAGTCAGCTTTCTCTGGGTTAGTGACCACAACTGCACACTCACTTCAGTCACCTCACTATAACACACTGTCAGAGTGTCTGAATGCCTATGGACAGAAGCTTCACGGGGCGGCCTACTCTTCCAGTGCTGATCTCCAAAGAGACGTTCAACATGCAGTCCTTCGCCAAGCTCAGTCAGAGTCCTTTCCTGATGAGTTGAAACTTCTGAAGTCCGATAAACCAGTGTCAGCCTCTAGCAGATTGGTTTCACTCTCCCCTGAGCTTGACGTTGCTACTGGATTGATTCGTGTAGGAGGCCGTCTCCGACATTGTGAGGTACTAGAAGCAGATGTTGCTCATCCAGTGGTCCTTGACCCTCGACATCCTACTACAGAGTTGATTATCAAGGATTATGATGAGAGATTGTGTCACCCCGGAACAGAGAGACTGTTCACAGAGATCCGAAGGTCATACTGGATTCTGAGAGGTCGAGAAGCTGTCCGCCGATACCAGCGTCAGTGTACGCAGTGTAGGAAATGGAAAGGTCGTCCAGAAATTCCCCTCATGGCCGACCTACCCCTGACCAGACAGAGATATTTTCGTCCCGCTTTCTACTCGACTGGCATGGACTGTTTCGGCCCTTTCATTATTAAGATCGGCCGTCGGAACGAGAAGAGGTGGGGCATAATCTTCAAGTGTATGACCACCAGGGCCGTCTATCTTGATCTTCTCACCAGTATCGACTCTGACTCGTTCTTGATGTCCCTACGACGGTTCATCGCACGGCGAGGGAAACCGTACGAGTTATTGAGCGACCAAGGCACCAACTTTAAGGGAGGTGAACGGGAATTAGATGACTCTTTCGCCACCCTACAAGAGGCACTACAGAGTCACCTCGCCAGCCAGCAGATAAAGTTTGTTTACAACCCGCCAGGTGCCCCACACTTTGGCGGTTGCTGGGAGAGAGAGATCCGCTCGATCAAAACAGCCCTCAGAGTGACCATCGGGACTCAGACTGTCACTGAGGAAGTCTTAAGAACAGTTCTGATCGAGGTTGAAGGTATTCTCAACTCAAAGCCTCTTG